AACCCTTTTTCTCCTTTTCCCCTTCGCCATATTCCCACGTATTGTAAACAATTAAAAACCAAACCAAAACCAAAATCAAAACAAAAACAACCCCCAAAACCAATACCAAAGCGGGAAATGCATGTGTGGCCATGCCTCACAAAATAGGTCGGATAATTGAAGGGAGCCCCGCAGACCGCTGTGGCAAGCTGAAAGTAGGCGATCGGATCTTGGCCGTGAACGGGTGCTCCATCACCAACAAGTCGCATTCAGACATCGTCAACCTCATTAAGGAAGCGGGAAACACCGTTACCCTGCGCATCATTCCAGGAGATGGTAAAGTATATATGTTTCCTGCTGTCTTATTTGACCCTTTCGTTGGTTTTGTTTCCCAGGCTTTTTGCAAAGTTATGGAGGGCTCGATTTCCATTCCCGCTTTGGGAATTAGCAGCGAGGGAGGTTGTGAGACTCCCGTAGCTTTATTTTTATTTTGCTTCTTTCTGTAGAAACGGGAGTTCTGTTTTTAAATGGGGAGGTGCTGATTCAACATTAAACGCATAATATTCCGTTCTCCCATGTTCCTTTACGTATCTCCTTAAAATAAACTCCTGTAAATTTGATACATATCTTGGTACACTTTGATTTGATTCTTAGGTTAATAATGCAGCTTTAGAATATTTGGGAATCACTTGTTAATATGTGGGATTCCCAAAGCTTTGAATATACCCGGCCGGGCTATAGAGTAAAGAGATCACAGAAAGGGATAAGTGCTTTGTCATGTTTTAAGCTGTTTGAAAAGAAGATTTGTTTTTATTCTGGGTAAGTTGCTTTGGGAGCAAGCTCAGTACGTTTTAAAATGACTTTGTTAAATGACGATGGCTCTGGAGCTGCTGTGTGCTTGCAGCTGATCATTGTAAGAGTTGCCCTAGACAGGATCTCCTTGTTTCAGATCAGAGGGAACGTGCGGGATCCTTCGTAATATGCTGACACTGGGTACTGGTTTCAGGTCACTGAAGTATTTAATAAAAATGAGGATCTGTGTTATGTATCAGTTTCATTAAATCAATCCCTGGCTGCGAAGCCAAGTAAGAACAAAGCATAAATGTCTGTGAAGTGTCTGTAACAGAACTAAAACTACTGTGGTTCTAAATTCCAAGTGTTTTGTTTGTTCATTGTCCTGCTCTGCCATGGACGGATTTGTGGTGGGAACTTGTTAGGCAGAAGTCTTTTCACGTTGCTCTCTTTTTAAGCTCAGTCCATGGGTATAAGGTTTGATGGCTCAGATGCAGTGCTAATGAGCATTTCTTAGATTTGCACAGGGTGTTATTTGCGTGCAGTTAGATGCAGAGAGAGTGTGAAGTTAGGTTTGAAAGAACGGTTGAGAAAGTGTGGCTGAATTGAAGCTGTTAACTGCAAAGGAGAATGAAGAAGTTACATGATGGGATTTTCAGTGAGAATGATTTGGTAGTTGCTACATCTCATACTTTACAGTCTGAAACATGGGTTTGGTTACCCCTCAGGAAATGTTTATGCTATGTTTAGTTATAGGGCAAAAATAGGCTAGGATGAGAAATTACCTGGTTATAAATTATTTCTGTTTAGGATGAGCTGTTCTGCATAAAGGCTTTATTTTCCCACTGTTTAGTAGCTCCCAGGTCAAATGGTATATGATCCTTTGCTGCTTCCAGCAGATTGAGTGTTCATGAATAATAAAGTGTCTGTGAATGAGGCTGTCATCTGAGCTGGCCTGTGTGTGCCAGTTTCGGAAGGTATATCGGGAGAAAGATTGCTCATTACGTGTATTTTGAAATCAAGGAAGTTGAATCTTGGAATAAACAAATAATCTTTTTTTAAAAAAAAGCAAAAAGACCTAAGAAATTGATAACTTTTGAATGGTTTAAGATTATTTTTAAGAGTAATGTAGCCTCCTGATGTGAATGCTCAGCGAGTCCTGATCATGCAAATAAGTGTACAAAATGCCATGTTAAATTGTGTAGGTTAGAAGGGAAACTTGTAGCTGTGACTAACATCATGTTTTCCTAGAGAAGGTGGAAAGCTGTAATTTAGGGAAGGAGTCAACTCTTCTCTTGTAGTAGTAGTGCTAGTTTCCAGTCTTTTTATTTACTGTGCCTTTGAAATTCCAAGTCAGATCGCCAACTTTTTATAGTATTACCTGCATTGAATTGCTGAAAGACAGTAAGACCAGTCATTCTCAAAGTTGCTGAAATGTTTGCCCCAAACCCCTTGAAATTTAAGAAATTTGTCTCAATGCTGGGGGGTTTTTTATTGTCTTTGGGTGCTTTTGTTGATTTGCTATTTTCTTTTCTTCTGGGTGCTTTTTTGGCAAGTATAAATGGCCTTAAGAGTGTGCTTAGAGGTGTGGGGGGGAGGATAAATCAGAAGCCATACTTCTGAGATAAACATGAAACTAAGGCTCGTCACAAGACTCACAATAAACTCACACTGCTAATCTCTTCTAACATTATTAAAACCACCAAGAGCTTTTGCTTTTTAATAAGTCTTGCACCAACTCATTGCTATAGACCACTGCAGGAGTGTATTTGCAATGGAATTATGGTGCTTTAAATGCTACCAGCTGATGCAAAGATACAGAGAGCTGAAAAATGACAAGCTTAGATTAGGAATTTAATTGGTGTCTGAGTGTTCTAGGGCAGAACAGGGCAAGGAATCGATGAAATATGCAGGATTTAGAATGCACAATTGTGATTCTACTAGAGATAATTTTTTCTATATTCGTATTCTGTTCCAGTTTTGCGTGGTGGCTGGCGTGCGTTCTGAACCAGGGTCTAAAAAATAAGCAAAATTATGCACAACTCCTGACTCATGGGATGGGGTGGGCTAAAGATAGATGCAGTACAGTGGTGTGAAGATACATCTGTACCGAAGATGTGTTGTTGCTCTACTTGGTATTCTTAGGGTGACCTACAAAAGGGTAGGAATCTTGCATTCTCTTTGAAGCCCATCTTCATCTGATCTCCAAATATTTGTGGAGGATTTCAGAGGCTTTTGTTCTGGATGAATACAGGACACTTAACCATGTTTGGGTGCTTTCTTATGCTGGAGGCCAATTTTAGCATCAAGGCATCTTTACAAAATACACAGAAATATTTCTTAAAATCCAGCAATGTAACCACATGTAGGGACACCTCCTCACAGCTGTCAGCAGCACTTTCTCACAAGGGAGAAGAGGCGCAGGCACACCAGGAGCTTCTCTTGCTCTTGCAGCCACTGGACACAAGCCATCTCTAGTCTGGAAGATGTTACAGCTCCATATGCTGAGGATTTGGGCATGTTAACTTGGGCACAGCGCTGCGGGCAAAGGAGCTGTGCTCTCCTTGCACTCATCTGTTTAAATGGTTCTTTTTCTCTTTC